GTCGTTTGCTGGAGCTCGGAAAACATAGGTTCTAAGTCTGGAATTCGACCCTACGGGTTGAAAGTGCGTCTTAGGCGGCCACCACCATATGACCATGATTAATTACCGCATTCGAATATTCGATAATTTTTAAGATTAAACAACGTTAGAACTTTCTCACTCGCTTCAAATACGACATCATGAGAGTCGGCTTTCAAGGCATACGGACGCTACAGCCTATTTGATGCCTGCAAAAGTTTACATGCTTTTAATAGTACGCAACATACAGGAGAAAAGGGGACGAAAGGAGACTTCTCTGCGGACAAGAGATCTCCCTTTATAGGAAGACCTTCTTTGAGAGAATTTATTCTTTGAGCACTGCAGCGCAGTGGCATGCAAGTATAGATAAACCTTCACGCATTTACAGGCCGATCAACATTGCCTGCAATATTTCTCCAATTTCTAGGCGGCTGCAGCACACCAGCAAACGTGTCAGTGATGATATTGCCTAGTCTCCTCTCTGGCCGCCATTTGTCAGATGGATCGACTGGAACGTGTATAAAGATGAGACGGGTTGCTTGTTGGAATAACGTCAAGCGCAGGATATGCGTGGACGTCGACTAACAGCCGGAATCTCGTGTGAATCCCCAGGCCACGCAAAAGGGGATCATGGTCACCTTTTTCTTTACATGCCTGGACCGACCTACACGGAGCTTTTGCCTGTTCAGGGCTCTGTTCATAGGCGCCTGTGACTCTTTGTCTATGTGCTGCGGATCTAGGGCAGAGATGGCGTAACAGCGCCAAACAGCCGCTGCCAGGATTACTTACTAAGCCCGGACAACTTTATCAGCATTCTTTCCTAGGCAACGGAATGAAATGGAAAGCTTCTAGGATTTGTATGTGCATTAATTGAAAGGAAAATGCGAGAAGCTCAGCGCTGAAGATGTGGAGGGGGCGTTGACCGCCACAAGCTAGAAAATCCCCAGATTTCTGATTTTAAGCGAGGGGTCCACAACTGCCTGGTAATGAACACACGTTCTGCACGCAAATGTTCACTATCTTGCTGAGTGAGGTTACTTTTTAATGTTGAATGAATACGATAATACAATTTGAATGACTGGTAGGCGAAGAATGGTAGATATAAGCCCACCAGATCCCCACGATGCACACGTACGGCGGTACCAGGCCTGCCATTGGTTTAATTTTATTTTTGTTTTTCGATTAATTGTTTAATAATGCTGATATTCGGAAAGGATGTGGCGTATTCATCTAGCATTATATTAGGAAGCTCCTCCAAAAGTTTCTACAAAAGAAGAAATTGCATCGTATGAATCTAAAAAGAAAGAGAAGGAGAAATTGTTTGGCAGAGAGTTCGGAAATGTGAGGATACCTTTGATATCTCAACATTAGGATCTCGAGAGTTCGCTTCTTCTCATGATCAAAGTTCAACTGACTAAGGCTTTTCGAAGCTTAAAAGTCGTCCGTATACAGAGGTCGCTGAGACTCATCTAAAATGAACGTAACCCTGATCTCGGGAATCACCAAAGGTAGATCACTAATAAGTAGCTGGAAAAAATCAAGATCAGGCGCCGAATCGCTCAGTTGCCGGGGGATTCCTATTGATACACGTCCTCGATGAATTCGCTACTCTTGGATTGCTAGAGCTACAGTATTAGATCGAGTCCACGATGACCCACGAGAAAAAATTTCACCAAAAGGGTGGACCCATAGAGCGGGATATTCTCGTGTTCGCTCCATTGAATTGAAAACACCTGCCCCTACTGGTCAGATGAGAGTTACGCGACCGAATCAAAAAACATCCTTATGAGGCAGAAGTGGTTAATCGGAGGTTTAGTAAACAAATTTTACCTACTTACAGAATTAAATTTCAGAGCCTCTCAGAGTTTCTTGTTTTGAATTCTTCAGAGCTAATGATTTTAGATGGCAACTGGGAAAAGCGAACAAGGGATTCAATCAACGAAAGACTTCGTAACTGCATGCAAGGTCCATTTCTTTACATTGAACAAAAAACCTCATTTTTATAGGTTCGAAACCATTTATGCTGTTGAGCCGAACTGTAGCGTACAGGGTTTCTCATTTATGTCTGGTAATAACATCCTCAGCCTCGTATGCCAAAAAGTGTCCCAACGTATGAGGGAACGAACGACAAGTTGTTCGTGACACAGATCCCCCAATAGGTCAAGTGTTCCGTGACACGTGACATCTCGGCCACAACGCGACCGCGAATCTGCAATTTGAATTACTTGTGCCTTGTCGGGGATTCGCATAATTGCTGCTGAGATGGTTAAGCACTACCAAGTGCAGCGCTTCGTCAAAATAGAGCAGCCGCACATACGACTTAATAACAACTCAGAATCGGTGTATCTCTAACACATTGCAGCGACATGCAAATATCAAACTATTTGCAGCACTGCCACAACTGGCCACGGCAACTGCAACACATATACCGTCATTTTTCCCACTCGGTGCCATTCATCCCTTCTACAATTGTCTCCTACTACTTCTCCCCCTACGCGCAACACACTGGGAAGTATAAACGGCTCCCAAAATTGCTTGCCTTTCGAAAAACCTTGATATATAACAAAATTAATCAAAATGACCCTAAAGCACGGACAACTAACGAGAAAGTAATAATATGTAGCGGTTGTATGCAATTTCCAGAAGTTGTCCGTGCTGTCAGTGTGCTTTTCGGCTCGCTAGCGTCATGACTGTTATAGAAGCCCTGAGTGGAACAATTTCAACTAATAACAGAAAGAGGCTCATTCATCCCTGCAAAGGAACGTTTTGGAATCATCGATGTTGTCATTGAGGCGCAGTAACGATGAAACTCACCATTGCTAAGCTCTTCATTCTCGTGTTCGCTGTCACGTCGCCAAGCAGCAAACGAATGCCTCCACTGAAGAATTTTTTCGTAGAAACCTCAAAGTATCATGTCGCACCCAGTTCATGCATGCCCACCCCGCTTTGCGGAAGACCATTACATCCCATTTGTCTTTTTCATCCTTCCCGCTCGGTCGCCCGTCGAAAAAAAAGCTAGTTATCCAGTCAGAATAAAAGGACCCTATTGATTTTTCGATGTTTAGGTTATGAATTATGTAAGAGAGAAGCGGACCCTGGAGCAGATCCTCAGTGATGACGAAAACCAATTAATACGGGAATTTTTTGAGCGAGGACTTGAGAATCCTAGTGAGCAGGTACACTCATTAAATCGTACATGTGACTTGTAGTTTCCTGCCTTCTTCGCTATATGTACTAAAAATGTGAGCTGAACTTGCAAAGTGGGCGGTGTCTGGACATTGCTTCAAGATGTGGGCTCGTGTGTGCACCTGTTCACAGTGCGAGACAGGACCTGCCGAAGCACCGTGCTCTGATCAGTCTACTCTAATAAAGCAAAGTAGGCGCGCTTGAATGGAATGATTATATCCATGGGTTGACGCGTGGGGTCAGCGAAAGTCATCCTAACACGGATGAAGCGCCCGTGTAGAATGAGGACCGCTTCAAAGACTCTTTGGAAGAGGGTAGCACCGATCTTCAACGCTGAAATCTGCTGCCACCTTGCTGCGGATTCTCGACGCGCCTGTAGCTTAGGTAATTGCAAAGTTACACATTCAAGTTGTAGAAGGTGTGGTACGGAGGTGGTTGCAGAAATATGCTAAATATTAGCAGCTCTTAAGGAACACTGAGATATCCATGTTTCCTGGCATATGATTATCATCAAATAATCCAGGTCATGGCCGCACTACACAAGGCTATGAATATGTGTTATGAGCGGATAATGTCTGATGGGGAAAAGATCTTAACGGATGATCCTGATGTGAACAACTTCCTCCAAGAAGAAAGAGAAAGTAAGACAATTAGCAGAAATGGATTTTATTTGTGTAAAGCCTTTATGTTTTAGGCAAAAACGGCCATGCTAGAAATAATCATTTCATGCCCTGAGTTCAATCCCTCAGCTTGGGGAGGTGAGAAAGCCATTCACCACATAATCGGTGAGTTGTCTTATCGCACCATTCAACTTGTGTTCTCCGAAAAATGCTGGCATGTGACAGGCCCAATTAACGGACAGTAACTACGTTGCAGCAATAAATGAAATAAGTCGACATGATTGAAGTAGAGCTGCTCTAAACTTCCATTTTACTTTAACACTCCAGTCACTAGAATTTTTCTTCTATGAGCCAATCGAGTAATCATCTGAAATCTAGGAATGTACTCCCTTCCTTCTAAACTTGCCTAGTATTAATAGGAACTACACAATCAGTAATAAGTGCGATTTTCAGGCGACGCAGGGAAAACCAAAGAGGTAGGAGCAAATTTTCTCCATGTATTTCTTGCTCGGGAAGTGCCAACGAATAGGTTCGACGTATTAAACTCATCGATTACGATAAATTCGTGAAGGGTTTAATGTGACGCGGCGGTGCTAGGTGCCAGAAGCGCTAGCTTTAATTGAGATGCTCCATTTGCGCCGCTGCTGGCCACGCAGCTCGTCCAAATCAACAAGTAAACTAGTGGGCGGATCGCTTTTGGGGGCGGAGCGCTTCGAAGTCCTGCTCAGCAACCAGCGCACCTTTCGTTGTGAAAGCGCCACATCTCGCTTCCCTGGCACCAAGTAACTGATTCGTGTGGTGCCATGCTTCCCCGATGCGCTCCCTCTTTATCGTAACCGTTTCCTTTATGGAGCGCACAACCCGCGACGAATGCAAGGCGCAAGCACGCACCAACCGCTTGCACCCTGAGCGGGTGAAAAGTTGAACCTGCATCTCTTGCTATGGAACCTATCGTTTATCAACTGTCACAAAAGCATGTTTCTTCAGAGGTCACTAGTGGCCAAACAAAAACTAAGAACGACTACAAGCTTTTCCAGCAATAGCCGCTGGTTTTTTACAGCCTACTCTTGTGCGCTCCTAGCACTAGATCTGACTTCAGAACAATCTTTATTCATTATCCAAGCAGTGATGATTCGGAAGACTTCTGACTGTATTTGATCTTCCAGGCAAAAACTCATGAAGATGATGAGGCGACAGTGGCTAGCGACAAACATAGGACGACTGAAGAAAGTAGGGAGCAAGCAGTCAAAGTCACAGAAGACAGAACAGTGGAGGAGGCAAGAAACATTCACTACCTCTTTGAAAACAGTAAAGAGATGCGTGGTTAGAAATGGACATTGCGCTCCTTCGCACTTTATAATCACAATACCGCTACTAATACTAAACTCAATAGTCCTCTAAACCATTGGATTTTTCGTCACCAGAGCTATCCAGTGGTATAACTTTCGAATGACCTATCCATTTGTTCACGAGTTATGGCGAGGCGACGGTTGCGACGGACTGACTGCGTCGCATTTCGTCGATTGAACAAAAATTAGTAGCGGTATTGTATTTACGTATATGAGTGAAGGGTAGGTATAGAACAGTGAGAAAATGAAGAGCGCTTCGCTGTTCTTATGCCCTCTGTCACGAAACTCAAAGTACCCCGAAAAACCACTTCTGTAGCTTTCCGTGGACAGAGTGTATATTATTAGAAATTGCAGGGTTCAGAACAACCAGCGGTGTTCAGTGTGCGTCCAGCAGAGACTCCAACTGAGGAATCTAAGAGCAAAACAGAGGTAATACTTCTTTTTGAAATGCTGGATCAGTCGACAAAAATAACGGGATGTTCTGGTCAGATGGTTTAGCAGCCTTGTAAAGCATTGCTCGCCTTACAGTACTTACATTGGCCACGCGGATATTGGATAGTTTTTTGGCACGAACTATTGATTATTGTCCTGATGAGAGCAGACAATCTATTGATTAATATTTATTAATGCTAATATTTTGATAGGATCTGTGCTTCGGGTTCTTCGAGTCGGTAGGAATATCGAGTGAGAGCCGAAGTGTGCCGAAACTATTGCGAATAACTCGTGCAGGGATCTGCAAATGGCTGCTTCATAATAGGTACACTAGGAATAGGTCCAATCGAGGAAACCTACTATTGATTAGACAACTATTGGTCCTTAAGGAGACGAACAGAGCCAGGAGCCAGAGAGCGGAAGCCAGAAGTAAGAATGCCCTGCGAGCCATCCTGGGGAGGCTTATATACACTGCCGATAGTCTCAATCTGCAGCTGAGACTTTAAATAGTCATCTCCTCAACTGGCTAGCGAAAAAACATACTCTGAAAGCATTCTGAAAACGTTCTAATGATAACGAATCTAAAGTAATTATACATAATGCTGATAAGTTTTTTCTAACCATCTATGTATACAAGGTAGCGTAGCTGCAAAGGGTCAACACATCTGAATGCCAAGCATTCTTGATATTTCAAGACATCAACTTCGAGACACGAATCGGGATCGAGTTTGGATATTTTTGTGCGTGGAAATAAGTACAAAAATGCGAAGCGGAACGCCATTCAAAAAACACAAAAAGAAATCGCAGATAAGGCCGAAATCAGAACCCCATGTCAAAGCAGCGAAGGAGTCCGGCTGGGGGAAGCATGTCCGAACGAGTTGTCTGGGCACGCCAGCCATGCTGGCTCCGTGTGAGCAGCGGACAGGCAATCGAGCACTCTGCCCCTGCTTCCAAGCCCCATGCCAGCCAGGCGCCACTTTCCGCGGTAGGCGGTAATAGCCAACGCCAGGCTGCCATAGCACTAAATTCTACGCCAGGGGCGTTATTATCGCGCTGCTGGGTCAGGAAGCTGTGTATCACCTCTGTGGTTGCAGACTCAGCTATAGTAGCATTTGACCGCCTGATCCCGACATGCCTTTAATTATGGATTGTAACCAAACAAGTATTCCTCTTTTTCTTCTTCAGGTATCACCTCCAGAAAAGAGTAAACATCGAAGCGCTTCTCGTAGCAAGGTGAGGTGATCATATACTGTTGGGATTTGCTAAATTCTCGTTTCTTTTATCACAACACTACAGCTGCCTTGGTCAGCGAATACATTCTTAAGATAGTCGAGAGAAGCAGGTCACGGAAGAAAAGGGCAAAAGAAGGCAGTGGGAAGGAGAAAACATCTGACAGAAAATCGAAAAAAGACCATCACAGTATTGTAAAGTCGAGATCCAAGCACAGGTCCTTCCTTCTAAAGGTAACTTTGTCATCGTTGTCGTGTACTTTCGAATCGAATGGCTCCGATGGATTTTTTGTAATAAAATAATTGCAGAAATCAAAAATCTCTGCTAAATCGAGAAGAGAATAGCGCTCCACTCAAGTGAGTTGGCTCCCTTTGGAATAGGATACAACTATCAGGTCATATTGAGAAGGCAAGATGGCCAGCGTTCGCAATTCAATTTTCGACACACTTTGAAACCTTTCGGTTTCGTAGCTGCCTTGTGCAACAACGATGCGGAAGCAGTCGACTTCCATTTTTCTGTGCCTCCCGTTATCTTTGGCAGCTATGGCATCTGTTATCCTTCCTTACATGAGCCACCAGTTATATTACTCGGGAGCTGACGAAAGCTGTCATTCTCTGCGTATGCTTACGCCCTCCACCATTGTGAGGTAAATAACTCATGGGCAGGAAGCAGGCATGAAATGCGTACCTGGAACAGTTGAGAAATTTATCGCAATCATGGCACGACGTGAAATGACACTTCGGCATTGAACCTTGAATTCGTTGGCCGATTTCGCTCTTCCTATTCTCCCACCCTCATCCTCCATCCTCCTCTCGTTACCGGCAATACCATGAGGAATAGTCGAAACTATGCCCATGATTGTTGAAATAACAGTTGGAGTGTCCTATCAAAACAATTACCTCACGTCAGAATAATACCTTAACACTAATTTGAGATTTTTGTTAATCGGGGAAGTCACGCTGCAGTGGCAGGGCGAAAGCTTAATCGCCCGTGCGTTGCTGGGCATGAAGGTACCCTCTGTTTCCGAGGTTATGGCGTGCAGACCACACGCCACAAGTGACGACACCATCCAAGTAAATCTGGTAATAGTGGTTCAAGTGGTAGTTGGTAAATGATAGTTGTAATTAGTGACAACTGATAGAATACAACTGCAACAGGCTAATTTCATTGGCAAAACTACATTTTGTGAAGGCCGTCGTCACTTGTGGTTGCATGGTCTGCACTCGACAAACATCTAGTTTTCGGAAACACGGTATAGGACACGAAATGAAACTCGTATCCATCCAGGCTCATTTTGCTTGAGTAAAAATGGCTTTTTCTTCTTTCCCCTTCCAATTCTTTTCCTACATAAAGAGCTGAATTGGTATTCCAGAAAGCGCGTCAATGCGTCGCGCATTGTACGTGGCTGCGGCAGGAACATCATAATTCACGCTGACTACGTGTGCTCACTGTGTCTGAACGCCTCTAAGCCGTTTACTAATGGAATGAAATGTTCGCGCAACGTGGGCCTCATACCAACACCCGCCCTCCTTTCCTTTCCCTTCGCCTAGGCGAGAGCTCAAGCGCGCGCCGTGTACCGCAGCACATTTTATTTTATTTGGCGCGAAATCACTGCGGCACGCGCTTCGACTAGTCTGCTGACCCCTCTGCGTCTCTGCCTTCCCGCCGCGCAACGCCTCATGCCGGCTATACTGAGCGAATCTCTTATTTTCAGATGTCAAATTGCTCAAAACAACGGACCAAACATGATTTAACAGAACATATGTCAGCTTTCAACTTTTATATTAGACATTATTGCCAAATATTTTGATGCTGCATTTCATAATATTTTGGTGCTATGCTTAAAAATGATTACATTGTGAAGATGATAACATGATAGGATTATGAGCACCAGTTAAATGCATAAGTTAAACCGACTAACAATTCATCATTTTCCGAAACATTAAATTATCGCCTTGAACCAAGGCATTT